TGCTTTGATCACGTGACCCTCACTCCTCTATAGTTCTCGTAACAGTCAGTATTCTACCTTCTAGAGAGAGGATGTCTCCATTGCCCCAGCAGGCCCCCCGAGCATCAGTAACTGTTGTCACGCCCCAGCATCTTCCCGCACTCCACAGCACATCGGATGTCACGTGATTATTGTACTCAGTCCTCCAATAATCCGCCTTTCGCTCGCCACACATTATCCCATGATAACTTCTATTACATGCACACCTCCCCGCAAAACCCCCGCTAACGCGATAGTATTACTAGGAGGCTTCCTTCATCAGCGAAGTGCAAGCACCAGCCAACATGTTTTGGTAGAAATACCGGGATGATTTCGCTTGTTAGAAATGTTAGAAACCCCTGTCCTTGACGAAACCATCTTCCCAGCTACAAGTGCTTGCTCGCCCAATATTTGTCGGTCTTTGCCAACTGGACGGATCGGTGCCGCTTCCGAATAGGGGAAAACTAGGCTCACAAGGGTAAAAGCCCTACACTCCAGTCACTCGCCCCCGATATGCTCAAGCTCTTTTTCTTTTAGTGATGGTTTTACGCAATCTTCAGGCCGCACCGGGCATCTACCATGAATCTGATATTGAGCTGTGTGATCGCAGATGCGTGTTCCTGCTATTCGTACAATATAAGCAGCTGTTAGTGCATGTGTTCCACACTACCGGGATCACCTCCTCTTACCACCACACCCATCTAGTCCTTCTACAGTGGTGAGAAGCAGGTGCAATTTAGCACCCCCTTCGATTGTGCACCACCGACATGGCCCGGGACCCGGTCGGGCGCATCCGGACCCCAGAGGTCTTGCCAGTATAGCACCTACCATGTCCGATGCCCGTCCTCTGCTGTAATTGTTTCCTCTTTGGACCGGCGGGGCTAACTTTCGCGGCAGGTATGGAAATATGCCGGATTAGGAACCTTCGTCCAGATAGCTGAGGCATTACCGCCTATGTAGTGTGAGTGAACCACAGTGGACTGGATGATATCCCGGAGCCCTTGATCAACCGCATCAGTCTCGGATACCCAGAAAATTGCTTCTACCGGCGTTCAACCTGCTGATGCAGCAGGAAGGGGGCGTACGTGGTATCGGCACATTTACTGTCGCTAGGGTCCTGTTGCCGGCGTGTTCAATCAATACCACTATTCAATCTTAACCCATGTGTGCTCGCTCGGCATATAGCTACCAGCTATCTTCCAATAGAGTCATAGTTTCCCTTCTTCATGACATATCGTAATTTCCCTGCGATAGGATCTCCATTATGGTCCAACGGCTCTCATATCTGTCAGTTGGCCGATTCATCTTCTTCCCCTCATACCCCGCTATCCCTGACGGCCAAAATACACAGCACATATCCAGTATGATACAAGCAGTAATCCGGGAGAGCATGTCAGGTATTAGTGTCAGGAGATTCAGGACGTGCTAGGGCTCATACGGGACAGCAAGGTATCAGGATTGTCTAGATCCGGGATAGCCGGGTGTGAGTGTAATTCTGATGTATGGTTGTCAAGCGTGGGCGTACCGGTATATCACATCTTGCATCAGGGAACCTGCACCTACTCATCCCGGTGAGCGCCCCGCGAGCAGAAAGCAAATGTTGTCTGGCCGGATCTGGTGACACTTTGTGCCAAGAATGCTCAGAAATGGTTAACTATTGGAGTTTGTTGGATGATAAGATCACTACACCACTATCACACCATTCACTCCCGCTCCACACCTGAAACCATTCTCAAGATTCCCCGCCAAAGGGTAAAATGTTCGGTAAATCCAGAACACCAACTGGATCGAACGCTGGGACCTTGGTGCTTGCATTGAGCGTGTGTGTTGGGGAGAGCTCTCGGAAGAATTCGGGATGGGGAGCTGAGGAAGGAAGGGTTCAAAATCGGTGGACAAGATAATGGTATCCTTGCTCCTACCAGTCTCCTTCTCCCACCCCCCCAGCGAGATGCCAGAGAAGGGATGAGTGAACGTAAATGATGATCTAGAATTGGTATCCATGCGGGTTAACTGGTTATCCTACTTAGATCGCAGTCTATTAATACGCCTCTGCTGCCAGCCCCACTCCTCAAATTCAGCGGTGAGCAGAACCCTTTCATGCGCTTCATTACAAGACAAGACAAGCTCTGATGTGGGACCCAAGCAAGAAAAACATGACAGTGCATATATCGTATCATTAATTTCCACGCCTCAATCCTATTGCGATCTGCAAATCCCGAACACTCAGAATGTGTCCGCGTGATGGGTCTGTGAAACGGGCTATTTGTGCTCACAGAATTGATGGAAGAAGTGACACTATTCATTTGCTCTCATGGGTTTTCCTTGAGGTGCTTTCACGATCAGTGACGCGTTTGGTTGCTGAAGTCGGCACAATTCACGCATATCATTGGACCCGTTTTCACACACCCCCTCCTGAGAACGGTCAGCTACAGGATCGGCTCATTTTTTTTAAGGCAGCGGTCGTGATCTACAACCTGGATAGTCTCACTTGATCAACCCTGGGCAGGGAGTCACATCTTGCTACATGCCCTCCCCTCCACTCCAGCTGCAGAGCTCGTATCTATGCGCCCTTACGAAATGAAATGGGGTCGGGGTTGGTAACAGAACACAGATATAATTACCACAAGAAATGATTGGTCGATAATACCATGCGACTCCCCCCCTTCACCCCTACATTGTGACTTTTCTAATCTATTGAGTTTGTTGTCTGGGACAGACCGGACTGTGATAGGTGTGGTGGATGTTATCATGGGGCTGCGGTTCTCAGGGGTTTCCTGTGGGAGCACGTTTGCCACCCCAGTCCCACCGGATTCTACAGCAGATTGTGTCACTTGAGGTTGGGAATTAGCTGCGACTTTTTAAGCGCTATTGACTCTTTATTTTCATCACCCTGTCCAGGACACATCCTTAATTCACTATCTGCAGAAAGCTAACGTCAACTCATAGCATTGTGGGTCAACCCAGCACCTCAGACCCCCCTCACCTCATTTCAAGAGCTATCACATTTCCAACACAACCATGTCAAATCCTCACGTAGGAGTATAGATGAGCAATATGCTGATGTTGTACTCATAGCATTCGCCATCAGGCTGATCCGCTCCAGCGAGCATATCCCAAGTTTCACAACCCAAGTGAGGCATCAGCAACCGACGAGCAGTACTCATCTCCTATGGCTGACTTGGGACCTACGAGTCCCCTTTCTCGTGCATAACAAGGCGCGGTACCCGCTTTTGACCAAAATTCTTCGCAGCTAGGCCAAGGCAAAGCAACACCCCGCCCCAGCAATCCGCTCATCTAGAAAATAAATTTTGATTGAACGGCTCTGTGTGTGCTCGCCACAAAAACAAGAGTTGAAGTGCATACAGGCACCCAACGACACACCCTTGAATGTTGGGACTTGAACCTGAGACGGTGGGCAGCATCCACATAAGCTAGGGGGTGCTTGGATAATGTGTTATCCGGGAACTAGAATTCACCGACATAGCCCACTAAAGGCGTGACCTGAAGAGCGACTACTTCAATAGGTGAGTATGATTCGCAGGGGGGCCAGAAAAACGGAAATATTTCATGCCTCTAGGCACCTGGATCTCCTGCGGGGTTCTGTCAACTCTTTGCCACACCTTGTTTAACCTTGTTAGCGTGTTGTGATCCCTCCGATATCTTACCATATGTGACTCTGCCAGAGGTAGGGTGTGCACGTTAATTTGGGAGCCCTCCAGAATAATTACTCAACCAATCGTAGCCGTAATACCCCATTTGTTTGTATCCGGGGACCTCACACTGACTTTGACAACTCATAAAAAAGGTGGTTTTTTGGGCTACGTGTGTCACCAGTCAGAGACATGATCGATTGACCGCACAACATGACAAATTCTATTGGTTGGGTCATCACCTCAGACCAAAATACACTATTATTGGCCTACCCGCCGAAAACCAGACCTCAATTTAGGCGTCGAATGGCCGCAATATGCGAGGGAGGGGCTAAAGGGAGTCTTGACGACCCCCTTCTGCCCCGAGCACGGACCGGTTGCGATTTTATACGTTGTGTTCAAACCCGGAAAGCTCCTACATTGGTCCCGTACCCATTACGTTCCACCTCAATATCTCCGGATTTCTCCTCAAAACTTTGTGTCAATCAGCTCATTGAAGAAAATAACAGACAAACCCTTTCTGGATATGCTACCTTATCTCCTTGACAGGTTGAATTGATAATGTGAGCCTCCCACGTCTCAGCCCCAGGGTGCCACAAAACTGCGGAACCGAGTGACACCGCATGAGCGCACCCCGCAAACAGCCAATGAGAGCTTTACCTGATAAATAAGCCGGAGCGAATTTGCAACCCGTAACCAGGAGCTTCCTTTACGAGAGAAGATATCCCTATGACCTTGCTTGCGCAGCTGAATACATATGGGTCGGTTGGCGTAAGCTCTTGAATAACCGTTCCCCCGACCAGTGGACTTCCCCGGAGCATAGGGAGGAAACCGGCCATAGCGCGGATTAGTAACGGGAATGCCGTTTGTTACCCTACCTTGACCAGTCAGCGCTTCGGCCTGCCAAGTAATTTGAAGCTGCGCCTCAGCAGCAGGCCACCGTCTTGCCACCGTGGAAGAGGGCTCCATGGGAAGTGGGTTGCGTCGTGCGGGGCCGCGTAAGGTTTCACGGTCGGATGGTTTGAAAGGCCGAGTATGGACCGTTGCTTTGTAATGGTACTCCGGTCAATTCGTCTGTCGAGATGCAGATTACGTGCCAAGACAGAGATTAGTTTCTTGGCAATACACATGCTTTGTGAATTACGTATAGTGCGTGTACGGGTTAAGTTAAGCTTAATTAAGCTGAGTGAGCCCCAGCGTGCTTACTTTGTCCCAGAGGGGAATTTGTAAGCGGTGGGTTGGCGGGATACCGAGCCCATCCAAGGTTTGCGGACCCCTTTTTTTCCGCTTCCTTTCCTCATCGGAGGTAGTGTTGTTCCGCGATGAAGTGACGCGGACAGGGCGATATCTCGCCGGGCAACCGCTAAGGGGCGGGCATGCATCGCCCCCACCCGACGCGGGGATGGCAAACCGTCACGCGAAGGATTGACCCATAACTGTGACCCGGCCACCATGACACGGGGAGGATCCTGTGTGATGCCCAGCGTCAGAGAAGAGTCTAGGAAAAGAAAAGAAAATGAAAAAAGAAAGAAAAAAAATCCCCCTCGTATTCAGGCAACCGTGTGTTCGCTTGCGAATTACGAACCCTCGTATCGAGCGGGGCGCGCTGGCCAAAAAGATGCAACGTTGGATTATACTTCGTTTAGCGTTTTGGGGGATATTTGCGCACTTACACATCGTAGCTGGGGATGCGCGATAGGCCAAGGGGTCTGGTGGGGGTTTGCGACCAACATTCCTCCACAAGTGGATTTCTGGGGAATTCCATCATTCCACGGAGGGGGAGGGGAAGGGACTCGGGGCATAAAAGGGTCAAAGAATCACCGCTATTTGGTTTCGCCATCATCGAGTTCTCCATAGTTTATGTCATATCCCCCGCTTTACTGAATATCGATAACTCTCAACTTCTCCGCTATCCAAGCAAATCCAATCAAAAAAAACAAAAAAACACCTTTGAGATGTCCACCATGAAAGCCGTCAAGCACCAACCCCAGGGAAGCATCTCCGTCGTCGAGGTCCCTATCCCGGATATCAAAGAGGGTCAGTATCTTGTTAAGACAGTCGCGGCAGCTCATAATTCCATCGACAAGTAAGTTCCCCTCCCGCCAGTATTTCCCGGCCCACCTGTTTGCTTGTACTAATGATCAACGCCAGTGATATCATCGAATATGTAAGATACCCCCTTATTCCGCATCATAGCCCGCTAACCAAAGACAGGGACTGGCCGGTGGCCCCGGTTCCTCCGTCGGATTCGACTTCGCTGGGATTATCGAAAGAACCGGCCCGGGGACTTCTGGTCGCTTTTCTCTGGGTGACAGAGTCGCCGGCATGGTGCACGGATGCAATACACATACCCCAGCTGAAGGGGCCTATCAGGAATACATCCCGGCCGAGGAACACATGTTGTGGAAGATTCCCGGTAATATGGAACTTAGACAGGCTGCCGCTCTCGGCGCTGCGGTGTTGACTGCCGCGTTGAGTCTTTACAACGAGTTGAAGATTCCGGTCCCGGGAGAGGGAAAGGTAGAGGAGGGAACTTGGGTGAGTACCATAGAGCCGGTGGACAGTAAGAACTATGCTGAAAGCTTGGAAGTTGCTTGTTTATGGTGCAAGTAGCTCGGTCTCGCAGTCTGTTCTTCAACTTGCAAAATTGGCCGGATTTAGGATCGTTGCCACGGCGAGCCAGAGGAACCATGAATTGGTGAAGAGTCTGGGGGCCGAGTACGTTTTTGAGTACAGGGACATCAACCAGTGCATTAAGAGCATTAAATCTGTGGTCGGGGACGATCTTCGTGTCCGTGAACGCTGCCTTACCTTCTCTCCACTCTTTATCGCTAACGGTGAATAGTACGCCCATGATAGCATCTGCCAGGGCGATTCCACCAGAATCGTTCTGGACTGCATCAGCTCCAAGGTAACCCTATCCCATTTCGCTAACCACTCATCCATCATCACCCAAGGTTAATATCTTCAAACAGGGCGGAAAGGTCGCCTGCACAATCCCCGTCCCCCCCGAGAAAGTCAATAGAAAGGACGTTGAAATGGGGAACATCGACGTCTTCGCTGTCGCCGGCCGGGTACCCGCCCCTCCACCGCGATAGCAAAGCGTTACTCACAGCTAACGACGTCAGGAATACTCCTTCATGGGAAACACCTGCCCCGCCGTCCCCTCCTACAAAACTCTCTTTCAAAAATTCTCTCCCATCTTTGAAAGGTTGATTGCGGATGGGAAGTTCAAGTTGCAGGGCACCAGGGAGATGACCGGAAGCTTGGAGAGCGTAAAGGATGGGTTCGCCGAATTTAAGGCTGGGAAAGCGAATCAGTTGAAGCTGGTTTATGTTCTTTAGAGCGATCTGTTTCCTGCTCCTGTTCTGGAGTCCGCGGAGGTTCGTGAGTTTTTGGACGGGGATTATGGAATACGGTTGACGGCTGGCGATCTGTCGGGTAGTTTTTATGAATTGAAGATTTGAATTTCTGAGTGGCAATGATGAATTTAGTCCAATACATTATCCTGGTCTCGCTGAACCGGTAGGCTATCACTGAGGTTCGAGGCGCCAGGATCGAGGCAAGGATCTGTCGCCGAAGTTCCCTACCTTAACCGCTGCAGCTCCTGTTTCCGTAGCTCGAATACGCGTAGAAAGAGAAAAACTCCCAACCGTTCCGTGTGCTTCCAGCTTTTCCGCTGAGCGGCCCGTAAAGCCTCCAATTGCAGCCTAGGTCTAAGGGAGTAGGCATCCTTTGTCACATGCAGTGAAGCCCCCCAACTACTCAGAAACACCTGCAATACCGGGGCCGCGCATATCCAATGAAATGTCACAAGTTCCCCCATCGGGAACTTCACCACATCGCCCAGGCTCCCCGCCAAGAATCAGCATGTGGACCCAAGCCCGACCCGACCTGACGTTTCTGTTGCGCGGCGCCGATGCAGGTTATTACCGTTGTAAGAACTCGGCTTCGGGAACCAGCTCATTCCCGCTTTCGCCTCTCACGCTGTATGTAGATTCAAAGACCCCAATGCCGTCCCGGTTGTGCTCCCGGGGGGGAGGGGAAGTACCGTATGCGCGAAAACGGGTGACGGAATACCGTGTGCCTGTATCGTATCATAGGTTTCGCCATGCTTCCCCTACTCCTCTGGAATGACACAATAACATGGCTGAGGAATTTTTGGTTGACGCCGCGGTTTGGACCTAGAGGTTTGTGGGGGGAGGTATCGCGCTGCGAGCATCTGGGCTCAATGTTCATATTGTACTTTGTACCTGCCAGTTGCTAAGGGTGAGCGAGGGGAGCCCCCTCTCTTTCCCCCTCCCGGGTCGCCCTGCCATCTGGAGAGCAGAACTTCATGGGTTTCTCGGGTTTTCTTCTTTTTTTTCTCCTTTTCCTTCTATTGGCCCTACGATATTGTCGGTTCTCCTCTCGGCCAGGCGTCCTTTTGTGGGTTGTGGCAAAGGGCAAATATTCTTGGTGTCGTTGATACCAAAGAGCCCGGGAAAGAATTTCACCGATGACGGTTATTCCAACGACAGTTGAGAAAGCGGAAAAAAGAGAAAGGAAAAACTCGGGTGATAATTGTCTCCTCCTGGTATTCCTGCCCCCCCCCTATTTTTCCTGCCTGACCCTTACGAGCCGCGTTTTCATCATCGTCATCCACAGAAAAAAAATAGAAACTTATAATGAATAGACAAAAGCTAGATGACAACTATTGTTGTCATCCTCGACGTATGCTCTCGTCTCCCCTAACAGTATACTTGTACGAGTACTCGTACAGTATCCGTTCTGCGTTTTTGTCTGCTAGCCGAGCAAAGAAAGGAAAAAAAGAAAACCGCCAAGACTGGCTGTTTCCATGGTTACACTCAGAACAATGTGGGCTTGCACCCTATGTAAATAGCCCATCTGTACCCGCCGGGTAGTTAAGCTAAGCTCGCTTACGAGGGCACGGAGGACTACAAGTTGGGACATTTGAAAAACGAGCAAAAGCATTTATCATATCATACGGGGATCCCATAACCGGAAACAAGCGCTAAAATCGGGAAACGTGGGTGATGCGGGTACCATGCTCGATTATTAGAGCACGTGATGGCCAAGAGTAGGACCCGCTTGGCAACCTTATTTCCTCATCGTCTTTCACTCGCATTTCTCGCCCCGGGGGCTGGTATCGCCGGCTCGTTAGTTTTCGAAACCCGACACCCATCTGGAGGATTGACTGATTAAAAGACATTCCGTTTACAATCTTGTCTCTATTTCGCCCTCCAGAGGGGGGGTGCCGAGCGGATGGTCAATCGGCAAACCGCATGGGAGTCTTTTCCACTGGAACGGAGCGGTAGCTGCTCAGCCAGGAAAAAAGGGAGCTAGGCCTAAAAATAGTAGTGTGCTCCCCACTTACCCTTACGCCCCGGCGAAAACGGACAGCGGACTTTGCAGAAAGTTACAATGGGGCGGAGTGAAACTCGGATTTCTCGCGATGGAGGGCTATTAGGGGACCTGCTTGATCAGTTCCGGAGCCGGGCCTTATTGGGTAAAGTTAAGGGTGAAAACGCAACCATTCAACCGCGGCAAAAATTAAAAAATTAAAAAAACAACTTCTTCGAGTGCTGTACCGGTGTACTTGCCATTTTCATAAGTATCCGGATATCGGACAAATGGCTTGGCAGCACAGACAAGGCGCAAGAAGGAGTAGAAAAATGTGGCAGAAGCTCTGACAGCCCTCCTCGAGCATTTGCACTAGTTTACTGTATTGATCATTCTACTCGTACTTGGATTCGAGTATGATACACAGCTGAACCGAAGGGGACGATAGCCGCCAAGCCGAGCCCGATATCCGGATACCTTTGAAAACGGCAAGTAGCGGAGGGTAGGTTTCTGGGTTTGGATTCATGTTTTGCGGGGCCTTCACTATAACCCATAGAGTTTTTTCTGTTGGGGAGGAGGCTCGGCAAGTGAAATGGTTTCACCAGAATGCATGGCCTTGACTCCCCCTAGGAGAGATGGCGAACGAAGACAAAAACAACACAACAAGACTACGTTTTCATTCCATCAAAAACCGAGTTGCATTTTCCCTCCTTTCCATCCACCTTGGTCCCTGCGTTTTACTACCCTCTTTCCCAGCGAATACCTCTGCATCTTAACAAGCGACATTAATATATTTAGTCGTGCGGATGGCCCTTTCTGTGTAGGGCGCCAGCTCGGTTGCGGACGCCATCCAACTCCGGAGGTCGGTCAGCAGAGGCGCTTCTACCAGTGCGGCCGATAGATATATTCGACACGTGAGTCTGATAAGAAAATTTTGGTGCACCTTTTGGCTGCGATGTGTCCTTAGATAAGGCACGTGACGAATATATTTATCGGCCGCACTCGTACACTCGTACACTCGTACACAGGTAAGGTAATGTATGGTTCCGGAAGACTAGACGGAGGACCACTTTTCTAATGAAAAGTGTGACAGTTTCGGATGTGACATTTTGCCTACTGCTTTTAATTAAACTTGGTAACCTAGATTAATAATTATCAAAAGTACTATTATTATGAATTAACTGTTTGTATTCTTCTTGGCGACTAAAAAATAGGTTACGCTAGACTTAAATACCAGGTACAGGCATTACGAAAAACCTCACATCCAAAGCTGTCACACTTTTCGTCAGAAAAGTGGTCCTACGTCTACGAGTAGTCTTCCGGAACCTACTCGAGTAGAGTGCGGGAAAAGTGTGCGCCCACGAGAGTTTCAGGGTCCGTTTTCCTAGAAAAACGGCTGGTAGCGTCAGTGAAAGCTTTGTCGTCGCTGTCGCGTAATGCGAACGAACGTGTTTGTCGGGCTTTATGAGTGAGCAGAATCTTGGGACAGGCGGCCCTGCACACTAAAATTGGGAGTTTTTGATCCATCGACATTTACCAAGAGTTTTTTTTTGGGATAGAAATAATTTCGCACATTAGCCCTGTGATGCTTCTCTTTGTCTCCTCTCGCTTTGGGAATAATGCCTCTCTTTTCCGCTCTGTCTCCTATTTCAAGCCGGATCGGAACAATGATCTTCCCCATTGCCACACCAACTATGCCTTTTTAGAACCGCGCCAAAGAAGGTAATCACAACTCCTGTAGTTGTGGATTGGCACTTGTTTGATGTGAACTTTCCAAATGTGCATTGGTGGATTCTAGAGATTATTAAACATATTTTGTATTTTTTTTTTTTTTGGCGGTTGGCGATTACCCCCCGATTATCTCCTACTTTTTGTTTTGGCGGGGGAATGCCTGCCGACGTCCCTCCCCCATGTTGCGGGGATGCCGTGCGGAGGAGAGTTTTATAGCGGTTGAAAAAACACCCCTCGAGCGACCTCGCGATTCGACGGCCTAGAGGCGAGAATTTGAGATGGAGGAAAATTAGGAAAAAATTCTCAATCCAGCTGGGCTATACAAGTATCATATGGTGCGAGTAACTAGTCTAAATGAGCCTGTCATTGGTGGGCTGACGATTAGCCCCTGCTACGGAGATATCTTGGGGGTCAACGGTTTTTTTGTGGTAGTCGAGGCATGTAACGTGTTATTGAAAATGAGTGTGACAGGCCGACTCGAAACGCGGTCCTGGCGGGGACCCAAATTCTGGCTCAAATATGTGCCCAACGGGATCATCCGCATTCAGTACTAACAAAGCAGGAGAAATAGCTTATGAAAGCGGATTACTAGGTTGAAGTGTGCTTGGCGACGCATTTGGCGGACAAGATGGAGAAGGGAATGTGCGGGAAATCCTAGGTTCATGATGACACTTAAGAGCTAAAGGACCACATATTGCAGTTTGTAAAGGATGTTGAATTAAGGTATTCGTTTGTTGCCACATCGGTTGAAGATTTGAATTTGCTGTTTGTTACTCATATTGTATATTATTGTTTTGAATATCTATATTGTTTATATATATATAATAAACTTGTAAGCTAATATGTTCGAGGTATTTTCTCATATAGGTACTTTTTTTATGAAAATAAAGTAATAAAATATTTATTATTTTTAGTTTATATGTACATACCAAGAATGGTCATTCCAATATTGTGAAAATATGATGGATATGTAGGGTCTTGAAAGAAGTGTTGAGGTGGAAGGCTTATTGCTTGAATACTGTAGGCTCTAGTGACCCATTCGCGATGAAAGTAGTGATAGCGATTCTGCTCTTTAGAATCCGACACTTGCGGTACTGGCTGAGGATTCCATCCTTGTTCCTCTGACTGTCGCACAGGCACTGCCTGATCCACTTGTGGTTGAGGAGCTTGAGAAGAGGATTCGTTTATTCTTGCTTCGGAGGACATAATGGTACTGGTTTGGAGTGGTTTTTTAAAAATAAGAGCATGCTGACAAGGTGAAACTTTTTTTCCAGTGTGGTGAGGTCTCCAATTCCTCTGTCTAGTAAGTCTACAAACTAACTACATTTGAGCAACTTTTCCTTGGCTCAGCTCCTAGCTGCTGGAACTCATAATTTTCTTACCGGTACACCCT